ATAAATTCTCACGAAGACATAGAGCATATGAACCCCGAAAGTTACTTGCTAGGTCTGACACGGAGAATAAATTCTCACGAAGACGTTGCTTTCACTCCCACTTAAAAGGGACAAGCTTGATTAGAAAGCTTATGTTATGCAATGCAAGTGTTGTGTGTGAGGAGAAATGTTTAAACCTCTAATAGAAAAATAACTAATGAAATAAAATACTTGCAAATAAAATGAAATATTAATAATATATATAAATACTATGAAAATAATATGTATATATATAAAAAAAAGAATTATAAATTAAATATAAGAATTTTTAATTTATGATTAATAGAGACAATTTATAATTGATTTTAAAAGCTTGAAAGGTCCCCAGCGGAGTCGCCAAGCTGTCATGACCGGTTTTTGTCCGGGCGCAAAATTTTTACTTGGCGGGAAAAGTGATGTGAATAAATGGTTTTTAAAATAATTTTGGGAGTCGCCATCGGCCTTTTGGGCCAGGTAGGTCGAATACCTAAAAATCATCCTTTAAAAGAGTTTTTAAGAAAATATCGATTAAAAGATAAACTGATATGCGTTTTAACCAAAAATTCGTTCTTTTTAATAATAAAAAGGGATTCGTGGTCGGTTACGTTTAGGGAAGGATTAGCACCCCTACAACGCCCAAAATTGGTACTTTTTAATTATAAATTGTCTCTATTATTAGAAATTAAAAATTCAAAGATATATTTAATTTATAATCCTATTTAATTTAAATTTATTACTATAATTTTAAGTAAATTTATTAATTTATATAAATAAGATATTTATTTATTTAAAAATATCAGAAAAGGACTTCTAGGTGCTTTAAGACAGCTCTTTCCTTTGATATTAAAAATAAATAAATATTAAAACATTTATCTCATAATAATAAAAAAATAGATTAATATATACAATTTTATAAAAGTAAAATATTTATTTATTTAAAAATATCAGAAAACAGACATCTAGTTGTTTTAAGACTGCCCATTTCTTTGATATTAAAAAAATAAATAAATACTATTATGAAATTTTTAATAAATTAATCAAATAATAAATATTAATATGATTAAAATAATAATAATAATTACTAATAACAATAAAATTATAATGTAATAAAAATAATTAAAATTATATGATCAAAATATAAAGTATTGAAAATAAAAGATCAAATTCGAAATATTAGGAAACTCATATCCTAATAGTTTAATTTAACCTTAATTATTTATTCAGGGCTAAAATAAAATTTATAAAATTATGAGGGACTAAATGTGATATTTATCCTAAATATATTATTTAATACTGTTAAGGACTAAAACATAATAAAATAAAATTCGAAGACTGAATTAGAACGTTCAGAAGTTAGTTTCAGTGACTAAAATGAATAATTACAAAACTCGGATGGCTGCGGAAAGGGTTTGGCCATGCGCAAAATTACAGATATACCCCCCTAAAACGACGTCGTTTGGGAAGGGGTATAAATACCCGAAACCGGCTGGCCCTACGGGCTATTCTCTCATTTCTTCCTTTCTCTTCTCTCTCAAAACTGAGAGAGCCAGAGTTCTCTCTGGCTTCTCTCTATAACGAGAGAAGCGGCACCAGCCGACAGGCGTTCGCCTCCGCCGTCCTCACTGCCGGCCACCGCATCCGGTGGCCGAGAAATTTTAATTTTTTACCAAAACGTAGATCGGACCGTCCTAATGACGGTTTCGGTGACCGTTTTTCTTAAAAAGCTCCTGATCGGAGCAAATCTATGAAAATACCTTCGGGTTTTGGTTGTTTCCGGCGACGGTTGGGGTTCTCCGATGACAGAGTAAGTTTCTTTCCTCTATTCTCTCTTTTTTTTTTGGTTGTTGTGTTGTTGTTGACTGGGATCGTTGGTAGTTTTTTTTTGTATCTTGTTTCTGTTTTTTTTTTTGTTGCTCTCTGTCCTCCTCTCTGTTTTACAGGATCCGGTGGCTTTTATAGCCACCACAGAGCTATGCTCGAACCGGTCCAGAGGGGGAAGTTCGGTGAGTCACCGAGCTATGTGGTAACTCACCCCATATCCGCGACATGTGGGGGGCAGCTGGCCTTCTGGAATCCTCTGTTGGCATCGTGGCAGCAAGGTGTCATCGTCGTGGGGCAGCTGGCAGTGGAAACATCAACAACGACGGCTGGATGTGGAGGTGACGCCTCGTGGATGTTCTGGAATCTTGGAGGCGGCTGGGTCTCACTGGAAGCGGCGGCTGGGAGCTAGGGTTTGAAAACCCTAGCTGAAACCCCAAATCAGTTCAGGGTTTCTATTTGGGTCTGGACCGGTTCTGGTTGGGCCTGGGATTTGGGCTTGTAAACGGGCCTCCAGTTTTGTAATTTATTTATATAATAATAATAATAATAATAATAATAATATATTATTAATAATAATAAAACTAATAATTTTAATTTTAATGAAAGTGAAAAATTAATGTCTACAATACTATTTTTGTAATATCATTTTTATTTTTATGATTGAGGCTCTTAATTTTTTCAATGTTACTTTTACCTTTATAATTAAGATCTCTAATTTTTAAATCTCACTTTTCACATTTATAATCGAGATTCGAGACCCCTAATTTTTTTAATCTCATTTTTTACATTTATTATTGAGGCCCCTAATTTTTAAATCTCACTTTTTACATTTATAATCGAGATTCGAGGCCCCTAATTTTTTCAATCCCACTTTTTACCTTTATAATTGAGGCCTCTAATTTTTAAATCTCACTTTTTACATTTATAATCGAGATTCGAGGAACCTAATTTTTTCAATCCCACTTTTTACCGTTACAATTGAGGTCTCTAATTTTTTTTAATCTCACTTTCTACCATTATAATTTGAATCTCTTAATTTTTTAAAGCTATTTTTTACCTTTATAATTAATTCCCCTATTTTTAATCACACTTTTTATTTTTATAATTAATGCCCCTAATTTAATCATTTTTCCAAGATTTATTAATGTAATATTAAATTAATTGTATAAAGTAATAGAATATATTTTTATTCTATAAGGACATATTTTTTTTTATTTCGCTCGTGACCGTGAAAATGTCCGGACGGCTGTAACGGGTATTAGATATTACAAGCTTCATACACTTAATTGCGAGGTTTATCGATTCTGATAAAACATCCCTTCCCTATAAAGTGTTTGAGGATTTCTCGCATCGAAGATCTTCTGTAGCAACAACAGTTCCCTTCTATCAAATGTCTCAAGGTATAGTTGAACAAATAAACATTAACAAGAATATAAAAATATGATTTATCTATGTTTCTTGAAGTTACAATTAAACTTTTAAATTCCAACACAATTCATTCTATGTAATTATGATTTTTTTAATATAAAAATATTTGTAAATACTCGACTAACTTCTCCCTTGGCAGTACTGTTGGATCTCAAGGAATTAATAACTTAAACACCTAAAAGGTTTTTCTTTATAAACCTCCAGATTAGGTAGCACACCTCAACAACATTCCATATCTGAAGTAAACCATAGGGAAGGTGCTGAGATTAGGTTGACAATCCCAATAAACAAGGTGAAGGTCAAAGAAATTCCATGATGAGCCCATTTATTTAGACAAAATATTCCTCCTGCCTTGTCAAAAGCTACTTTGTCATTGTTGCTTAGTGGCCTCTATTATTTGAAGATGATGTGTTAATAGAAAATGCAAATGGTCATTGATATGAGACCTATTCTACTAAGCATTGATTGAGTTGCACCTTCAGCATTTCACTCAACACCTCATACATTATTTCCTTGAATATATACATACACACGTAACGAAATGGAATGTGCAGTGGATTCTTGGGAGAAGCAAAAGGTTAGAAAACAAGTAAAATGGTCCATGTAGGTTAGTGTGTTTTTTGATGGGACAACCCATGTTGGATGCCTCTGCTTGAAATACACCAAAAACTAAGCCAAGTTAGAGGAATCTGAAGCTAAAACTAGAAGCACAACTCTCACTTTGGTGAACTATTGTTGTCGTGTTCCATTTGTTTCTTCTTCGGCAGAATCCCTTTGGTTCATTGTAGAATACATTGAGGCGTTGATTGGTCATTAGAAGAATCCTTTGAATGTAAACAAAACCCCATCTTTGGTTTCAATTATGAACAATGAAGCTTGTCTCTACTGTAAAATTCTTTATGGTTGTTATTCTGATCTGTTTGTTTCTTGTATTTTAAGTTGGGATTTGGTGGTTTTGGTTATGACTAATTCCTTATGTTTTTCTATGCTTATCGCCTTAATCAACGTAACTAGCTATTGATTAATATTTTTCTTTATTCTATGATAAACAACAAAAATAATGCTTTAAAAATCATAGTACAAGAACTCATTGAATGATTTCAATAGTAGAATAAAATGTTATTTTATCTAAAAGACCCAATTTCATGTAATTTCGTCTATAGAGCGTGTTGTCAATAGTCTAAGAAAAAAATTTGTTCATGAATATGATGGTCCATTCACCTCGCACGCCTATATCTTTATGGTCCTTTTATGCATCTTTGGACGACTCAATAATTTCAATAGGCATGAATGGTTTTATACCAATTTAGTTGAAAATTGTTGAAACATTACAAAGTCAAAATCTTTTTTGAAAACAAAGTTTGAAATTCCATTTTGTTTTGTCACTTGACGTATATTGTTTTTATTTGTCTTCTCCAATCTGAGTCAGACAACAAAGAAAAGATACAGCCCCACCACCCTTTTCCTTCTTCAACATACCAATCTCTACTCCCATCTTCATATCCCTTTTGTATTATGTCTTGTTTATGAATACAAATACCCTTTTCCTATAACAAATCATGCTTTAAGATTCCATAAATTTGGTGGCTTAATTACTCTTTGATAATGGGGTATTTGTTCTACTGTTCACACTGATTAAGCACCAAATAACTATTTAAACCCCAAACTTTAAGCCTGTTTTATCTTCCATTGTCCACTCTCTTTTCCTCGTACTGCTCTTCTTTTTTCCTTATGATACCTAGATTCAACTGATCTCTTCTTCTTTTTCTTCTGGTGTTTTTGTTTTAAGCATGGAATCGTGGGCCAACAGTTGCGATATCTGATGCTTTAGTTTCCAAGAAAATGGAGAGCATTCACATGTCCCGTTTTATCCTCTTCCTCACAGTCTTTACTTGTATTCAGTCGGTCGCCTTTGGGGACGATTCGAGTTCAACAGATGCCTACTGGCTTCTCAGAGTTAAATCAAAGCTAGTTGATCCTGCAGGTGTTCTTGAAAGCTGGTCTCTTGGAGCTGATATATGCAGCTGTAACGGCGTCAAGTGTTCACATGATGAAGCCTTTCTCATTGCCTTGAACCTGTCTGGTTCAAGCTTGTCAGGTTCCATTCCCAACGAGCTCTGCAACCTTGTTTCTCTTCAAACACTCGACTTGTCTCTCAATTATCTCACCGAATCAATCCCCCCTCAGATTCGAAAGCTTCGGAATCTAATGACACTGCTCCTATATTCGAACAATCTCTCTGGTAAAATTCCTCCAGAGATTGGCCTTTTGAGGAAGTTGCAAGTTCTCAGAATAGGAGATAACATGTTGACTGGTCTAATCCCAACAAGTATTGCTAACTTGACTGAGTTGAGAGTGCTGGGCCTTGGATATTGTCAATTAAATGGAAGTGTTCCTGCAGAGATTGGTAGCTTGAAGAATCTGAAATCTCTTGATTTGCAGCACAACAGTTTCAGTGGACTCATTCCTACACAGATTTGTAACTGTGAAGGGCTGCAAAATTTTGTAGCATCAAACAACAGGCTTGATGGGGAAATCCCTGAATCAATCGGGAAGCTTAAATCGCTGCAAATTTTGAACTTGGCCAATAACAGCCTTTCCGGATCGATCCCGACCGAGATAAGTGGCCTATCCGATTTGAAGTACTTGAATTTGGTAGGAAACATGCTGAATGGAGAAATCCCATGGGAGCTCAACCATTTGGTTCAGCTTCAGGAGATTGACTTGTCCAGTAACAATCTATCTGGAACCATAAATCTGCTTAATGTCCATTTGCAGAACCTTCAGGTTGCAGCTTTCTCTGACAACACATTGACCGGTAGCATTCCGAGTAACTTTTGCCTTAAGAATTTGAATCTTCGACAACTGTTTCTAGCACAAAATAAGCTATCTGGAGGGTTCCCATTGGAGCTATTGAACTGTTCCTCACTGCAACAACTGGATCTGTCAAACAACGATTTCAAAGGAGAGTTACCACCCTCCATTGACAAATTAGAGAAGCTTAAAGATTTACTGCTCAATAACAATAGCTTCAGTGGAAGCATTCCCCCAGAAATTGGAAACATGAGTAACTTGGAGAATCTTTATCTGTTTGACAACATGATCACTGGCTCAATTCCAGTGGAGATTGGCAAGCTGCAGAGAATGAGAACTATCTACCTCTATGATAACGACATGTCTGGAAGTATACCAATGGAGTTAACCAATTGTACAAGCTTAACTGCTATTGATTTCTTCGGGAACCACTTCAGTGGTTCCATTCCTGAAACTATTGGAAAGCTCAAAAATCTGGTTTTGCTTCAGCTTAGGCAGAATGACTTGTCGGGTCCGATCCCACCAAGTTTGGGCTACTGCAAGAAGTTGCAGCAATTGGCTTTAGCTGATAATAAACTATCAGGAGTCTTGCCTGCAACTTTCAGATTCCTTTCTCGACTCAGCACCGTCACGCTCTACAACAACTCGTTGGAAGGTCCTCTGCCTGACTCGCTCTACTCTCTCAGGAACATCAAAATAATCAATTTTTCTCACAATAAGTTCAGTGGTACAATACTTCCCCTCACAGGTTCAAATTATTTGACTGCCTTGGATTTAACCAACAACAGCTTCTCGGGTAGCATTCCTTCTCGTCTTGCCAATTCGATAAATCTTCACCGTCTCCGACTCGGAAATAATCAACTCAGTGGCAGGATTCCTCCAGAATTAGGCCAACTCAAGGAGCTAAACTTTTTGGATTTGTCCTTCAACAATTTGAAAGGAGAAGTGCCATCTCAACTCTCTTCTTGTCAAAAGCTTCAGCATCTTCTACTTAACAATAACCAATTCACAGGCAGAATGCCTAGTTGGTTGGGGGGCCTACAAGACCTGGGAGAGCTCCACCTTTCTTCCAATAATTTCCATGGACATATTCCGGCCGAGCTCGGAAACTGCTCGAGACTGCTAAAGCTTTCTCTCCATACCAACAATCTCTCTGGCCAAATCCCGCAACAGATTGGACAACTCACTTCCCTCAATGTCCTAAATTTGCAAAGAAACAATCTTTCAGGTCCGATTCCTCCAACAATCCAGCAATGCAAGAAGCTGTATGAACTGAGACTTTCTGAAAACTTCCTCTCGGATTCGATGCCGTCCGAGATAGGAAGCCTAACTGAACTACAAGTGATATTAGATCTCAGCAAAAATCTTTTGTCAGGTGAGATTCCATCATCTCTGGGAGATCTTCTGAAGTTGGAAAGACTAAATCTCTCATTCAACCGACTAGGAGGAGAAGTTCCTTCTTCACTCGGACAACTGACCAGCCTGGTGATGCTAAACCTGTCAAATAATCATCTTCAAGGACAACTTCCTTCTGCCTTTAAAGGATTCCCACCCACATCTTTCTCGGGTAATGACAAGCTATGCGGCCCACCATTAACATCGTGCACAGACTCAGCGGGTCGTGAAAACTACGTACTGTCGAGCACTGCAGTCATTTGTATCATAATGGCCATTGTTTTCACTTCCACAGTTATATGTCTGGTGATGATTTATATCATGATAAGGATGTGGTGCAACATGAGGAATGCTTCGATTAGCATATCATCAGAAGGTGGTGGGAATGGGACTGAACAAATCAAAAGAGAAGATAAAGAGAAATGGATGTATGGAGGAGATGAGAAGAAAAGGAAAGGGGAGTATTGGAGAGTGATGAGCTCCACGGCATTGGTTCCGTCACAGAATCATGATCATCACATTCCTTCGGCATGCATTTTTCACGTTAAAATGGATTCAAAATGACTTGGCATATAGAGGAGAACATATGGTCACTTCATTTTTCAAAGCTTCTCAGGTTTCTTTGCACTACTCTTTTCTTTTTACCCTTCTTCCTTCAGCAGCCAAATAAATGTGCCTACACAACGGCTTACACTGTACAATGTACATAAAAATGTACTTTTTTAATATATTTATTAGGTATAAATAACTCTTGGGTCTATATTATGAAAATGCGCTTACCCCTATAGTAAAATAGGTCAAATTGATGGTTTAGGTCAGCATGCTTGTTTGAAATGGCTTGTCGTATATATCTTTTGTTGATGCTTGTATGCTATTTTAAATGTTAAAAAAAAATAGATGTCTCACGCCCCAAAACCCAAGTTAAAAGTTTTAGAAACGTAAGGAAATTTTTAATTTTGAACCTAATTTAAAAACTGAGATTAGTTCGATAAGGTGAAAAACTTCATGGACTTAAATGGCCAAATATTAGTTTAACTTGGATTTTGGGGTCAATTTGGAAGTTTGGGAAAATTTGGGGGGTTAAATAGTTAAGATCATGACGGGTTCACGTTCTCCTCTGCTTCGTTGTTTGCCCCATTGGATAACCCGTTAAGCAAGGCCCAATAGGGCAGCCTGCACCGAGGCCTTTGCCTATATTCTCAAGCCTTGTTAACACCCAAGCCTGCCAGTAAGCTGATCTCCATTTGGGCCATTATCCAAATCACGATCAAGTCGTTCAGGTTAGGTCAGGTCAGGTTAAATCGAGTACAAGTTATATCATATCATTTCAATAGTTTAATTTAAATTAAGTCCAGTCAGATTACGTCGTTGATGGATAAAATTCATATAAAGTAATATCAGTTTCAGGAAATGACCATCCAGCTCAGTTGGTAGAGCACAAGGTTCTTAACCTTAAGGACGTGGGATCGAGTCCCAAGGAGGGCATTTCATAATTCGGAGGTCTCTTACGAAAGCTGCTCTCAACCTGGTGTTGGGGGTAGCCTACTATCTTACCTCCCCCTTACCCCATACATATGGAAAAAAGGGACAGCCATTTTAATATCAGTTTCAGGTTACTAAATACAGATGGAATTCAAATCAAGTCATTTTCAGATAAATTATTTTTCACCTTTCAAAGAGGTCTAATTGTAATTGTATTATATATATAACATATGTTATAGTCTTAATAGCCTTATATTAAATGTTTTTTTTTGTCATCCCAGTTCCAAGGTTTCGTCATGATTAATCCGAACCTAATCGCTTCGCACACATGATTTTGGTGGGTGAGTAACAAGGATTTTCTGCATACACAAGGACACGAACTCGAGACTTTACTTAAGCGATATCAAGCTGCTTATCACTTAAACCAACCCATATTGGTATATTATATGTTTTTAGTCATAGTCTTATAGCCATAGGCTATAGCTAGGGGTGTTTAATAAGTTGAGTAACTTTTGAGCTGATCGAATTTGACTCGGTCAAAAAATTTGACTCGAGTTGACTCGAGACCTTAACGAGTTAAGTCGAGCAAGGTCCAACTTGACTCGATAAGTTCGCGAGCAGTTTGTTACTTTTTTTATATAATTTTTTAGTGGTTATCTTAAATTATTATTGCATTAAAAAAAGAAATTTAAAAAATAATTACTCATTTACTAATAGATAATAAGAAATATGTTAAATAAATAATTAATAACTACTACTACTAATTTACTAATATATTAATTTTCTAATAAATAATATTAAAATTAGTAATTATTTACTACACAAAAAAATCAAACCCTAATTGTCTTACCCAATTCTAGTAAGCTTAACTAGGGGTGAGCGTTTGATCGAGTCGAGTCAAGTTAAAAAGTTTTGAGTTATTCGAGTTGATGGGTTCAATTTTATAACTCGAACTTTTTTTGAGTCAAATAGAGCTTATAAAATTCGAGTCGAGTCAAGTCAAGTTGTTCGTTTTTTCTATTTAAATATAATTGTAAATATTTATAATATTATGATACTATTTGATCTCAATTTAAACAATTTTGTATAACTATATACAATACATATATATTTCTTCATATTTTTTCAGATGTGCTATACATATATCATATAAAGTCGAGGGACTTGACTCAAATTTGAAAATAAATCCACTAATTACTAAAAGTTTCAAGTTATTCGAGTTCTATTTTATAATTCAATTCGAATTTGAAATTTTTTTGAGTCGGTTTGAGTTGAAAAGAGCGGTTTTCCAAGTTGAGTAGAGTTTTGTTCACCCCTAAGTTTAACGAGCAACGAGTTAAGAAACAATTTTTTTGAACGAGTGGAAATCAAGCAAATTTTAAGGAGCAACGATTCAAGTCGAACAACAAATATTTTTAATGAGCACGAATCGAGAACTGTCCAACTAGCAGTAGACTCACTCGATAAGCACCCCTTGCTATAGCTATGTAATTGAAAAAATATAAAAAGAAACATTATAATAATTATCTCTAAATATATAGAAAAAATTATTACAAACTACTAACTAGGACTAAATTGAACAAACTGAAATTTAAATAAATTAAACAATGGCATGGATCAAATTGAAATAATTGTAAAATGTAAAATTGAAATCAGTTCATTCATTTGAAAAGTTGGTGAACAAAAGTTTATAGGATTTAGAGATCATTATATGATTTATAGAGTTTGAAGATTATGATGTAAAATATAGGTTTTAGAGTAAATTAAAAAAAATGGAAATAAATATGGGCTAATTTTGGATAAAAATATAATTTTAAAGGCTAAATTGAACAAACATGAAATTACAAACTGAAATTTAAATAAATTAAACAACGCATAGAGATCAAATTGAAACAATTACAAAATTTATACCTAAGATTAATATCAATTTGGACTAAATTGCATTCATTTTAAAAAGTTGGTGAACAAAAGTTTATAGAGTTTGGAGATTATGATATAATTTGTAGGGTTTGCACTAAATTACAAAAAAAAATATGGGCGAATTTCATATAATAATATAATTTAAGAAATAAAATGAACAAAAATATCATTATATTGAAATTATTAGACTAACTTACAGAAATGGAAATAAATAGGGATCAACTTCGATTAAAATATTAAATTTACTCAAACTTTAATTTATTTTTTAATAGTTTGTAGTAATTACAAAGTAGTATTTATTCAAAATCTTTTTTAACCATTAACAACGTGCATACACTCGTTGATTGTATACATCAACTATAAAGACTTATTTGCGGAGTTTTGCTCAAAGATACATTTATTAAATCAATTTTGGTTCAAAAGATATTTAAATATCAATTTGATTTATCGCTAATTGTAGACATCTTCATACAGTTATCCTAAGTTATTTTTCCTTCTAATATCCCCTCTTGAATATTACAAGAACTGTAAGAACAATAAACAAAGCTTGATGCACTCTTAATGTATTTCTTTACATCATAGTTTCCTCCACCGATGGAAGGCAATACAAATTGTTAAGATGGATGCATGATTACAATGCGGTTAATTTTTAAGAACGGACGTAAGATTTTATATTGGAATGAATTTTTTATTTAATAATTTATATTATAAATTTAAAACATGAAATTATAAAACTTTTAGAGACAAAATTATACCTTCATTAAAAAAATTTAAAAATTATAGTAAGAAGTGGATCCCCGCCCTTTCGGTCCATCTTTGCTGCCTTCACTAACTAGAAAAGGAAGCTAAAAAGTGATACATAGAGACAAGCAAGCAGGAGTGAACCGAAAGAAATATTCGTACGTATTATAGTTAATGTTAGCATTGCTTTGCAGATTGCAGGGGAAAGCCATTAATTCCTGTCCTTCGTTTATCCAGCAACGGATTCATTGAGAGTTGAGAGTGGATACGTGTCTATTTTGAAATTTGAATTTTTTTTCAGTTAGTTATCTATTTTATTGATGGTGTCTATCCTAAAATTTTATCTGTGCTCACCTTATTTAAAATTTTTTTATTGTTAATATATATGTGTTTATCTTTAAAAATATTTTTGGATCTGCTACTATGTTAAATAAAAAAATTGAAAAAATGGGAAGGGAAATTCTGTTAGCTGTCAAGGTCCCCTGGCCCTGAATATGATCGATAACCATTTAAAATTCTAATTATTATACAGGTCATAAATGAATTAGGGAGGTGAGAGTTTAGGTTTCAAAGTAATGTGTTAGAACCATAACTCCAAAATCAATCATTTTACTTTGATTGTGTTAAAGAAATTAACTCTTTTTTTTAAAAAAAAAGAAGAAGAAGAAGAAGAATAAAAAGTTATTTTGATTTTAAAAGTAGCGGTGTATGATAAAATATATGCAAATGTAAGTCAATTGAGTAATAATTTAGATGTTGCTTACGGGTTTTGATATGACCATAGGCTATTACAGGTTATGAGTCTTTTGAAAAGGTTAATGCATGTAGACTTTTTTAAATATCCCTAGCTATTCCACTGCTATTACCAATTATATTATTGAATATGATTATCAGAATATGTTATATTATTTTGTTTGATTTATTTGACAATGATATAAGATTATAGTGTTTAATGAAGAATATAAATGACCTAAAAACAAGTTTTTTCAAGCTATATTTATTATATAGTTTCTTTTTAACATTTTAAACTCTCAGTATCAAATTAAAAATCTTCTATTTACTTTTATCACAATATATAATAAAATTTTAAATTATTTTTTAGTGATTAGAAATAATTATTTAAGTTATTCCAAAAATATTATTTTTAGAGTTAGAATTTCACCCTTAGACGATGATTAAACTTTTTAATAAGTGCAAACGACAATATTGTTTTCCAGCCCCTGAAGAACATAGAAATAAAGTAATTATGAAATTTCGAGTTTTAACACATTTATTATCAAATCAAAGCCGAGTGAATTTGAGTAACTTATGACAATTTCATTGCCCTATGTTTGCAAATCAAGCTCTCGTATATAAAAATAAAATAAAACTCAAACTTGATAAAAGTTTATATTATTTCAATCAAAATTATATTATAAGCTATATATTTAAAGAATATATTTTAAAAAGAATATTTGAGACAATATAAACATAATATTAATAAAAATACACTAAATATTAGAACATCATTTAAATATGTGTAACA